GCCGACGCGGGTTTCTGTGAGGGATCGCATGAGCCTCCGGTCTAGAAGTCCCGGATCCTCGAGTCTATCAGATCTGGATCCCTTCTTTGATCGAGCAATGTCACTGCCTTCCATTCGGGAGAGAGATAGTGACAACGACAGCCAGTTCCGCAATCCATTTGCAGACACGAACTCTGTGGCAGACACGCAGGCAGACGATGCTCGGAATCCGTTCGACGATTCAAGTGCCGAGGACACACTGCAGGAGCAGCCTCCAGAGCCGCCCTATCACATTTTCACCAAGAGGCAAAAGTGGTTTGTTATCGTCATTATAGGCACAGCGGGGTTGTTCTCTGGCCTATCGTCAAACATCTACTTTCCCTCGCTCGATGCCATCTCACGGGTAGGCCCTTTTGTACCTCGGATTTACGAACATTAGCTAACTTTAATATAGGATCTACATGTGAGCGCCGAGATGGTCTCGTTGACGATCACCTCCTATCTCATTATCCAAGGCATTTCGCCGCTCTTTTGGGGCTCCATCTCAGATGCCTTGGGGAGACGACCTATCTACATTGCCTCTTTTGCCGTCTACATCATTTCCAACATCGGTCTCAGTTTTTCGCCAAATTTCACCATTCTCATGGTTTTCAGAGGGTTGCAAGCGGCCGGCAGCGCTTCGACCGTCAGCATCGGTAAGCCCGACCCGAGGGCGATCAGCCCAAACCCACCAAACCTATTTTTAAAAGAAACCACACTCCTCATCAAGTTCTAACCACCACTGTAGGAAACGGTGTCATCCAGGATATCTCTCCTCCCGCGGAGCGGGGTGAGTTCATTAGTTTTTACCAGGCGAGTAAGTCGATGCCTCCTGTTTCATGCTCTGCAGTGAGTGGTTGGTGCTCGGAGTTGCTTACTCGGAGGTAATCTCGAAGTCCGAAACTTCAGCATAGCAGTTGGGCCTGTGCTCGGCGGTCTGCTCGCAAACTTCCTCGGTTTCCGATCCATCTTTGTCTTTCTTTTGATACTCTCTTCGGTAGTCACTATTGTGATTATCATATTTCTGCCCGAGACCATGCGAAGCATTGCCGGGAATGGCTCGCTCCGGCTGGGGGGTGTCTATAAGCCCCTGATACGCCTTGTTACAAAAGAGCCTGATTATCTAGAAGACCCGGAAGAACCCCTTCCGCGGAAGAAGGTGACAGCAGCAACCTTCTTGGAGCCTTTGCGTCTGCTCGTACAGAGAGACATACTCATCAACCTCATATTCGGCGGTGTTGTTTACACCATCTGGAGCATGGTCACGTCGAGTACCACTGGATTGTTCAAACAGCTTTTCAACCTAAATGAACTCCAGATTGGCTTGGCGTTTCTACCCAATGGTATGTTATACCAACGCTCCACTCTTGACGACTTAGACGAAATCTGACTCACTCTTTCACAGGATTCGGAACTATCGTGGGCTCAGCCATAGCTGGAAAGCTAATGACACGAGATTACAAAGCAATAGAAGAGGCATACAAGGCATCCCATAACATGGAGAAGTCCGAAAAACTGACAGCCAAGAACATGCCCGCCGACTTCCCGATAGAACGGGCGCGTCTACGTCGTTTGCCATGGGTCGTCGTCATATTCATCGCATCAACGGGTGCTTACGGCGTCTCGCTCAACTTTCCCTCCGCGACCTCATTGACAGGCTGGATCGCTGTTCCGCTTACACTACAGTTCTTCATCGCTGCGACGAGCAACGCTGTGTTCGCCCTCAATCAGACTCTCGTCACGGATTTGTGCCCCGGCAAAGGAGCAAGTGCTACAGCCATCAACAATCTCGTCCGGTGCGGCCTAGGAGCGATTGGGGTGGCGTTCATAGAGCAGTTCATCGCTTCAACAGGACCTGGGGCCGCGTTTCTTGGACTTGCACTTGTCATGGTTGTCGTTGGGCCGTTGGCGGTTGTTCATTGGTACTGGGGCCAACAATGGAGAGCTGCAAGAATTCAGGCGAAAGAGATGACAGAGACCGAGAAAGAGGCAGGGCGTTCGGGTTGAACAGTCCTCTCCGAGATAAAGACGCTCGTCAGCATTTACAATCGTTCAAAAAGCCAGCATACGCTCCAGAATACGGAGCCTACATACATGTTTGCATTATTGGGAAAGGGATAAATAGACAAAAGCATGAGAATCTCCTCGGTTGTGATGAACTTCGTGCAACTGCTACTCATAGCCAAAGCATTTCAAGATACATGCGACAATCTAGCAGATCAAACGCTGATCATGTTTTGCTCTATCTATATTCTTTGGGAGCCCAACCATCCAATTCGTGAAAGCTCGCGCCACTGTTCATGCTTCGAGAGATACCTTCGAAGTATCGTCTTGCTTTCCGCAGCAGATTCGGCACCAGCCAACTATCGCATCGTACCCAAGGCAGCGGTTACGACTCGCAACGTCAGTGGAGCTGGCTCTATTTTCAGACAAGAATCCCCAGACAAAATCTGTCTTTGGTCTGGCGAATCAACGTAGCTCGAAATGCTGATGACTTACACACGAGCGCTGATCCGATTTCCGCCCCGCAGTCGACCTGATCAGGGGTCAGCGTCTTGTTCTGAAAGAACCTAAATAGCTGTCAGTTCGTCGCAACCACTGGTAAATCTTCAACTGACATTTGATCCCATCAATCGGACTAATTCCTTTCGTGCCTTAGTCAGGAATCACCCAAGGTTCGGCTTTCGGTTCTGGTTCTTTCCCGATCAATCGGCCGGGCCGACCCCGGACTCGGCTTACCGCTGGCATGCATACCCGAGCGGGGTTCGTCTTATCAGCAACGCGATTGACATTTCTATTAGACGGCCGGCACGCCGATGGTGCTCCGGGGTGAGATATCGCAATGATAGTTATCCTCGGAAGACTTGAGCTCGTCAGTACTAGGTATATATTTCGTTGCTTCATCCTGCAAATTAGCACAGCTCTTGGCGACTTTCCACAGCTGAGAACTCCGATCCATCATCCCACCGTCCCGAGTCTTTATTGTGTCTTTATTCAGGATACCCGCAATTCATTATGACGGTTCCCGAAGTTCATGCCGCGGACGTGAGTTCCAAAGCCATCAAGATTCAACAGCAACTCGCCCAGTACCTCGACAAATACGTTTCAGACAACCAAAAGTCACTGCAATGCAACAAGGAGGCATCCGGTTCCTTGCCAGGAGGAACAACCCGCTCCGTTCTTTACTATGAACCCTTCCCACTGGCGTTTTCGGGAGGTCACGGTTGTCATCTAACATCCATGGATGGAGACGAGTACCTCGACTTTCTCTCTGAGTACTGCGCTGGCATGTTTGGCCACTCACACCCAGACATCATTGCCGCAATTGAGAGTGTTACCAAGTCAGGGTTTACTCTCGGTGGACCAGGACCTAAAGAGGGCGAATTGGGAAAGTTGCTTGTGGACCGATTTCCAAGTATCGACGCCATCAGGTTCTGTAACTCAGGTACAGAGGCTAACACCATGGCTATTGCTACTGCTCTGCACTTTATTGGGAGGAAGAAAGTAATTAGTAATTCAATCCCCACAAGTCTTCGGGACTTTATTAACAATTTCATCAGATTTTGGTTTTCGAAAATGGCTATCACGGCGGCACACTAGCCTTCACGCCAGGAAACCCGTTGATTCTCCCTCATGACTTCGTTCAGGGTCGATACAACGACATTGAGTACACACGCCCTCTCATTACCGAAGAACTCGGCATCGTTATCGTCGAGCCGTTGCAAGGCGCAGCCGGCATGTTTGCTGGAACGAAGGAATTCCTCCAGTTTCTCAGGGACGAGGCCACCCGCGTCGGCGCTATCTTGATCTTTGACGAAGTCATTACCTCGCGCCTCAACTACGGCGGTCTGCAAGAAATCCACGGAATTATTCCCGACATGACGACAATCGGCAAGCACTTTGGAGGCGGCTTCTCCTTCGGTGCCTTTGGCGGAAAGAAGGATATCATGGACCTGTACGACCCGTCGTCTCCCACGAGCCTGCATCACTCCGGCACCTGGAACAACAACAAATTCTCCATGACAGCAGGTGTTGCTGCGACGAAGCTGCTTTCGAGAGAAGCCCTCGATAAGAACAATAGCCTCGGCAACAAGCTGAGAGAAGGACTTGGCGCTCTTTTCAAGGCTAAGGACGAGTCGATACTTACTCTGAGTGGGTTCGGCAGCGTCATTGGAGTGCACTTCAACGGGCCCTCGGCAGATAACTTGCGAGACTTGTTTTTCTTTTATATGCTGAGCAAGAGGATTTACGTCGGTCGTCGGGGATTTCTGGCGTTGAACATTACCCACGAGGAGGAACATATCAACAGAGTGTTGGAAGTGGCGAAAGAATTTTGTGACGAAGTGTTGTAGGAGCGATTATATCGTCTCAAATGCAATGAACCGTGTCCACTTGCAACTCATTGTGTTGATGATACCTGACTCGGGATGAAGTAGCAAGCTTAAAGCCACATCCCATTTCGATGCGTCGGCCCGTAATCAGATAAGACTTTTTCGGGCCGGGCATTAAATAAAATGACAGGTGACCCGCCATGCCCTTGCTCGAAATACCGATTTCCGGAGTCTTGACGGTGGTGCTCAGAGAGGAAGGTTGATAAAGACGCAGGATCAAGGTCTCTTGGCGGGTTCAGAGTAACGTGGTAACCCCCTCGATCCCTGTTTATCGCAGCAGATCAGCCTATCGCGCGGGGTAAACAACGCCGAAGCGGCGCACGGCATCCGTGCTCTTAAGGACGCCTCGCCAACCAATTCAAACACTCATCCCTCACACCATCCTCAATCAGTCTGACGAAGAGGAGACGCAATTCGTCCGACTTCACTCACCTCCGCCCTAGGTTGTCCGACTGGTCTCCGGCTCTCCTCCGGCCGTCATCCACAATGCCGGACACCCGGCCCCGCCGCATGGCCCCACTCATCCAGCTCATCGCACTCCTCTCCCTTCATCCCGGTCATGTCTTTGGTCAATCCTCCCCGGGATTCCCCATGGTCATCAACACGTGGGGCGGACCCTTCACTGCTGCCACCGACGCTGCGTACCAGGCGCTCCTGAAGCCGGGCACCTCGGCCCTCGACGCCGTCGAGATCGGCTGCGCGACCTGCGAAGCCAATCAGTGCGACGGCAGCGTCGGTTTCGGAGGGTCCCCGGGCGAGAACTGCGAGACGACTCTCGACGCCATGATCATGGACGGAGTGACCATGAAATCCGGCTCCGTCGCCGCCCTCCGCCGCGTCAAGAATGCGATTGGAGTAGCCCGCCATGTGCTTGAATACACTTCGCACACCATGCTGGCCGGCGACCTCGCGACGGAGTTTGCCATCGAGAACGGCTTTACCGCTGAGACCCTATCAACTGAGGCATCCACCGAAAGATGTGCTGAATGGAAGAAGGGCAACTGCCAGTCAAATTACAGACAGAACGTCAGCCCGGATCCGAAGACTGCGTGCGGCCCATACACGCCGGTTGAGCTCGACTCCAGCTCTCCAGACTACTTCAACCTCATCGCGCCGAACTCCGCCCAAGCCTCTCACGACACCATCTCCATGACAGCAATCGATGCCAATGGAATCATGGCGGCGGGTACGTCGACGAACGGCGCTTCGTTCAAGGTTCCTGGGCGCGTGGGCGATGGGCCTATCACTGGCTCCGGCTCGTATGTTGACGGTGATGTCGGGGCTTGCGGCGCTACGGGTGATGGCGACATCATGATGAGGTTCCTGCCGTGTTATCAGGCTGTTGAGAGCATGAGGAGGGGTATGACCCCGGAGGAAGCAGCGCGAGATGCCGTCGTTCGCATGGTCAAGAAGTACCCGGCAGTATCAGCTGGCATCGTGGTGGTCAACAACAAGGGCGAGCATGCAGGGGCAGGTTCGGGTTGGACTTTCACCTATGCATACAGAGGCGGGACGATGAATGCGACACAGGTTGTCACTGTGCCTCCGGTCGTCGTTGGTCGGTCATTGACGGTTCAGATGCCTTAGAAAACAATTCGGGGTGGAGATTAACATACCTTTACTGATAATGAATATTTTTATCTTCACGTATGTGTAATTCATAAACCATGTCAAACGTATATAGTCCACCTCCATGGCGTCGACAAACTCGCGTCACACTTAGTAGACACGGTCATTGAGACTGCAACATTGGTCTTTCTAAAAGATTTCGGGTGTCAGACTGGATCTGATTTATATACATCGCCATGACTCGCAGAGAGCCCTAAAGGTAAGGCTACCAAATGTACAAGTAGAAATGCAAAGCCATCCCACATACTATCCACAAACAATTTCTATCTCAACACAGTCACCACTCTCGTGGCAACTTCACGCTTTTTCAACAATAAGAAAATCGATTTGGTGTAGACTTGAGCGAAAAGAGACGCTTAGTAGACGGGGACCTTGAAGGCGGGGAAGGTGTAGGTCCAGCTATCAATGGACTTGGCGTCGTTGACGCAGTCGAAGTCGGAGCTGTTGCCCTTCCAGAGAGGGCGCGAGGGCCACTGGCAGAGCATCTGGGTCTCGCCGGCGTTGACGTTGGTGGAAGAGGTGACGGTGGCGTTGAGGCGGTCGGGCTTGTTACCGTTCTCGACCCAGTCGATCATGATGTTCATGTTGTTCTGGGGGTAGGGGCCGGGCTGAAGGCTGTTGGTGCCGCAGTGGCCGGCGCCGGGGACGAGGTAGAACTGGTACCAGTCCTGGAGAGCCTGCTGGGCGGCCTCGTCGGTCGCGTTGGGGTACATGATGGAGCGGACGGACTGCCAGTAGTGGACGGAGGAGGCGGCGGGGATGGAGGAGTCGGACTCGCCGTGGTAGTGGAGGAGCTTGCCGCCGGAGGACTGGAAGGTGCTCAGGTCGGGGTAGGTGGTCTGGAGGGTGTCGTAGTAGCGGAGGAAGCCGGTGTTGATCCAGTCGACGAGGGTGTCGTAGGTGACGTTGTTCATGTCGGAGAGGTTGTCGAGCTCGAGGAGCTGGATGAAGCGGGTGACGTACTCGCCGCCAGTGGAAGGGATGGAGAGCTCCCAGGCGCCGGTGTCAGAGTTGTAGACAGTGGCAGCGTCACCGAGCTCGGAGCCGATCTGCCAGGAGAGGTAGGCGCGCTCGCCGGCGGAGTTGAAGATACCATCGTAAATGGCTTGGGCAACGGCGACACCCTCAGCGGAGACGGAGCCGTTCTGGGCGGGCTGGTAGCTGGTGGTGCTGCCGGCGGCCTGTCTCTTGTTGAGACCTCTCTTGTTGAATCCGAAGCCGAGAGAGGTGCTGTTCTTCTCAGCGCAGTAGTAGGACTCGCCGATGACGGACTTCAGGTCGAAGTTGAGCTTGCAGAGGTCGGTACGGGAAATAACGCCATCGGTTCTTCCGTCAAGAGAATCGCAGGCAGCGATGGTGGAGTTGACGATCTTGGCCAACTCGCAGGGAGGGGGCAGGTAGTCCTGAACATGCTCAACGGCAGAGGAGTAGACGTGGAGGACCTGCTGGTGGGCAAAGCGGAAAGCAGGGGCACCGGCAATGACACCGTCGTACTCCTCACCCCAGCGCTGGACCTGAGACATACCCTCACGACCACCGTCGGAGCAGCCCTCGTAGTAAGTATAGACCTTCTGGTCATCGGTCAAGCTGTACAAGCTCTTGGAAACGGCCTTGCCGACCTGGGTCATCTCGCCCAGAGCCTGGTAGCCGAACATGTGGGTAGCATCCCAGTTGATGGAGCCGTTGCCGTAAAGGACCTGAGACATGTAGTCGTTGTTGAAGGCATCGTAGCCGGCGTCGGTGGCACCGGAAGCAGCGCCGTAGGCCAGACCGCCGGTGGCGTCGCTGGAGAGGGAGTAACCACCTCCTCCGGCGACGTAGAAACGGTTCTTGAAGTCGTCGGGGCTGGGGAAGGCGTACTTGAGGACGACCTTGTCGCCGTGGCCGGTGTGGGTATAGTGGACCGTCACGTTGCAGTAGCTGTAAGTGGCCGAGCTGCCGGAGGAAGCTCCACCCATGCCGCCGCCGCCGGTGGTGGCGTTGTAGACCGCGGCCACGGTGACGGTGGAAGGAAGAAGGTCGACTCCGAGAAGAGTGCCGTTCGCGGGGAGGGCGTTCTGGACGTTCTCGACGGTGCAGAGATCGGTGAGAGAAGCCGCATTAGCAGCAGCCGCGAGGGCGCGGACAGCCGCCTTGGAGAGTTGAGGCATGTTGGTGAGGTTGAGATGGAAACGCCCTAGGATTATAGTTGAAACGAATGTGGATGGAGAGAAAGGGAAACAACCTGAGGTGGTGAGGAGTTTCAAGACCAGAAACACATTGTTAGGACGACTGCTTTTATAAACAAGATCGTCGTTGTTCAACCCTCGACGACGATGTCGCTGTCCGACAGTCCCCGTCGCATTGCGATCGAGAACATCCCCCCCACACACGTCCCGTAGGTACGCCTCATAGTGCAGAGGCGCAGTAGGGCCGTGATCTGGAGCTCTCGCATCGACCCCAGTTGGCCCGGTAGATATGATGGGGGCCGAGTAACCCCTATGTCGGTAAGCTCCGTCCACGTCAGCCACGATGAACGGGAATGCCATATTGGATGGTAAGGCTGGCAGACTAGGAGTCGGGACGAACCTGGCTCGTGTGGAGACCCGTCTTTCCATTCGTCGGGACATGTTCCTTGCATTGAAATGTCTGATTTAGCACCTCGGGTACAACATCAGAAGACCGGGGTGCCACGTAACTCTGGTCCTGTACAATCTTCTGCGCTGTCTTTGTGGCAGTAACGCGTTACGCGTCTGCCCTTAGGGCCCTCAGCCATGTGTCTTACTTTGAGCCTTCTTAGAGAATAGCACACGGGCAAGCTTCAATGGAATGACCTCACCATGCTAAGTCTATCCCAGCGGAAAGTTTTCTCCCCACAAATCACGCGGTATCCATGCCCCGAGAATTCTCGTTCTTGGGGGCTAGAGCTTAAACCGAGTCAAGCTTGAGGAAGATACACTAGGGTCGTAGCCAGTTTGTGGCGTAGATCGCAGCGTAACGTGATGACGGCGCACTGTTCAAGTAGACGAAAGCCACAACAAACTCCCGAGCCAACATCGACCGCGGAAGTTTTCCTTTCCTTCTCGGCGGGGCATCCTGCACAGTTTCCTGTCTCTCGGATCCGAGAATACCCTGTTGTTTACGCTCTTCAGGTAAAATAAGGGATGCCTGCATAAGCCTTAAGATGAGTCGTGAGTCGTAAGCTTCTGTATAGCAGAGCCCTTCCTTCGGGACAACCCCACAAGAAGAAAGGTCTGGAAAGGGGCTTTTACGCCCATTACGACTGCGCGCTCTGCAGAAGCTCGACATGTATGGTCTTCGCCGCACCAAGTCTGCGGCCGATTCGGCACCGCCTTCGGGTTGTGGGCGTCGGTGAGCTCATGAACTGTCATCCACCGAGTAATTCTGCTCGCCTCTCCTGAGAATGTTCCGGTCTTCCAAGGCGGGTCATGCCGTCTTTCATCAAAATAGAGCTCAAAGTCGAAGAAAGACGGGGCCGCCGAGGACCCGCCCTTCCTCCGGTGGCAGAGAGTCTAAATGCCATAGTGGGGCTAGTCCGAGGTGATATCGGAATCGTTGCCGATCATGAAGTGGGGTCTTCCCGAGCCTCTGAGCCAATGATAATGCTTATTTACAGGCTGTGTTGGTAGGTTAACGAGACTGTAGGCGAGTTGTACCACGCGGACGAAGCGTAAGACATATCTCTACGAGTATGTATTTGATATAGGAAGCTTGTCTGAATAGTCAAATAGTTGAATTCGTCGTTCTGATAATGGTAAGTCTCGCCTGCGTCACCTGCGCGCAGCAGCCAGCTTGGCTCAACCTCGTTGAGGGCCTCTCTGACATCGTCTGAGCTTGGTGTCTAGCAGCTCATGACGTGTCGTGGTCGCCGGTAAACCTGCTCAGGATCCGACTTCCAAATGAGGTCAAGTATGGATGGGTAGGTCGGAGCCGGATTTGGATGCAATTGGGGTAGATGCATGAACACAGTTCCAAACCGGAAGTCGTAACCATATTAAAGGAAATGACAGCGGCGGCGATGATGATTGATCGACGCGGTCGCCCTTCAAATGGAGACCTTCCATTGATGAAGAAAAGAGACTTCACTTTGCACACATGCTTCACGGAACGAGTTGATGCCGGCATCGAGAAGAGTGATTTTTTATTTTGAGCAGGATCTTTCCATCACAGTTCGTACACCTCGGTCGCGAGGTGTGAAATTTCGTAACGTGTAAGGTTACTTGATGCCAGGTATGTGAGCACTCAGCAAGACCGCTCTGCGATGGCTACAAAGATGCGAATAGGGGCTTAGGTCAGCGACCACGCGCATTCTCCTATCTCTGAGCCAATCCTCATGTCTATTCGGAAGAATGTGCCACGGAGTCAGAAGAAGGCCTACTTAGACAGCATACCTACACGTATGAAGTAGAATCAAGCCAATCAAATACGCCTTGTGCGAAACAACGGGCTTTCAATCGCCGACATGCATTTGGCTTGAAGTCGAATTCATCGCTAGAACCACGAAAGCTCGATTCTGAGAACACCACTGAACTGAAAAAAAGGTTGATAGCACCAAATAAATCGAGGGAATACAGCAAATCATGTGATTACTGATATCCTGCTGGGTCGAATCAAACCAACAGTCCATGGTAGATGCTGCGGTACCAACGAACTGCCCCGGTAAAGGCGGCTGCGTGAGAATGAAGCTTCGTCGCTGCAGGCGCTTCACCCGAGCACCTCCCACATTCCACCGACTCGACATAAGTGCTTGCTTCGAAATTCGAAGGTCCATTTTTGAATTTGAGGCACGGTATTACACTGCACAGTCGTGATTGTGCGAGAAGGCGCCGAGCACCCAAGTGACCCTTCGAAGTCGTGACGGACGTTTCCTCATATGCCTGAACCTTCTTGCTGGCAAACTGAAGACTGACACCTTCCATCTGGGGTTTCTAATGTAAAAAGAAGCATACGCACTTTGA